TTTGTCATTTTATTTTATTTCCAACAAACGATGGAGAAGTGTTGACTTGTTTTATTGTGTTCTTCATTAAACTCATTTGAATCTACAAACATCAGGTTATTGATGTTATGATGTGTGTCTCACTCCTTGAGAGTTTTCCGGTTCCCCATTGGCTTCTTAGAAGCGTAGCGAATCGATGTTCCGTCTTCGTGGGGACTCGTTGGAAGTGCGTACTATTTTTGTGTCCCAATCGAGAGGGGAATTAAATATCAATAATAGTGAGGAACGAACGTATTCTCCAACATCGGGTCAATACCCACAGGCCCTGGTATCAATGAATTATTATGGAATAAACTGAGAACATGGTAAATTAATTGCTGTCACTATGTTTCGAACTGTTGGTTGTTTATCTCTTGGCAATTCAAGTTGACGGGGCTTCATTTCCAGATGTCCGGGTATCAATTCAACCTGCTAGATCATCATTTCGAGTTATCTCTGTACCACTGAAAGCTGTCACGGTGACCTCATCAGCGCTGCTAGTAGTGTAGTTTAGTGTTCAATACTTCTAGGGATGTCTGGAAGAACATGCAGCACAGATTTCTCGACCGCCGGATCAAGCACAGGGCTAATGATTGTGAGACACGCCTCGGTCACACTCCAATCCTCATGATTGATTACCTTGATATTAGGTGTAGGCGTTTCTGTGTGTGCGTATGTGTTCGTCTCCCTCCCTCTAAAAACTTATATTGGGCCATGATACGGCGATACCAATGGATCAGGTGCGATCAGCGCGTGAGCCATTGCTTGCATTCATCGCATGATGCTGCAATAGAACTCATAAGCTTCATCTCAGGCGACTGCAATATGATACCAATCGATCATATTTGATCAGTGTACGCATCCTTGCTGACCGTATCCACATCCAGTTTGGTCGAGGCTTTCAGATTATGTTCTATCCACCAAGTCCCAAGGCTAACATCCCTCTGTCATGATACATTGGCTTAACTACTAGATAACAGACTTCACTGAGTGAATGTGTTCAGCAAAGAACAACGGGAAACCAAGTTCGGTAATTCCAGTGGTGCAGGTGTTTAACACTAATAGCGGTCAATTTTAACGGACATAAGAGTAAGTAATTCTTTGTTCCATCGCAAAAGAGTTGCGTGGCTGTTAGATAGCTGATCTTTTACAAGTTCCAGGTGTTGTGAGATACTACTCACTTGTGAGTAGTCGGTAACTTTCGGTGATTAAAAATAGAACAAGACCATCAAGGACCAAGTAATATATTTAGGAAGAATAAACACTGCCTGCTCTACCCATTGCCCCATGTGTCGCGATGGGCTGCGAAGGCATGTTTCTGACGAGCTTTTCGTGTTATGCATGCAAAATTAGGGACCTTCAATCTGTAATCTGCAATATGGAGCTCTCCTCGACCAGCACCGCCTTTTCGGAATATAACAATTGGTGCCGTCGCCAGGATCAGGATGAAGGTTCCGTGGCCAGCAGNAGGATGGGGATGTGCGGACGTTCCTGGGGGAGTTCGAGGATGTGGCGGAGTTGGCCGGAATACGGACGGATCGCGGCAAGTTGACGGCCCTCCGAGCGCTCCTCAAGGGTCGTGCGCGGGCAGTGTTGGACGCGGCACGAAGAGGCCCGGAGAAAATGGAGTGGGCCGCCGCGAAGGACGCCCTGATCGCGGGCTTTGACACCCCGGCCGACCGCCAGGAGGCACTCCGTCGCTTCAAGACGGCGCAGCTCGGAGTCGGTGTGGACCCACTTTCGCATGCCGTGGCCCTGCGTGGGCTATTGGATCGCGCACTACCGACATTGGAGGAGAATGCTCGTTCGGAACTACTCCTTGGCCGTTTCACAGAGAGCCTCCCGGAAGACATACGCGAGAAAGCGAAACTCATCAATGTGGCACGTACCATGGGCGTAATGACCCTAGCCGAAGTTGTGAGGCAGTTCATCGATCAGGAAATTGCGGCGGTGCGAACACAGGAAGTCCATAAGGACAAGCCACCGGAAGACGTGAAAGCCACAGTCGACAGACTGACGGATGAAGTGGCGGCACTCAAATCAAATTTCGGACGGAAGAAAAACACAAATGCATGTTTTCATTGTGGCAGGCGAGGTCATTGGCGGCGAAATTGCCCTGAGAGATATAAAAAATTCTCTTCAAATACACGATTGATTCCGTACACGCGTCTTCTCTCGAACAAAGCAGTC